GAAACTGCGGCAGCTACAACCACTGTACGACGAGTACGCGGTTATTACCGCTGACAACGATGATGATGATGCTAGTGTCTCATATTTTGTCACACTCGTTTCATCCCCAAAGCCAGAGGGTCGGGAGGTCGTTTGTCAAACCACTTTCCATCCACTAAGCTCCAGATAACCTTGTCGTTACAGCTCGAAACTACTGACCGGTAGGTCCGTGGTTCGAATCCATCCTTGGCTTTTTTACTACTCGTGTGTATGCTTAGGCACTCTTGCATTATCCCAGCCGTCGTGCTTCTAGTTACATGGCTGCTATTCGCAGAATGGGTGCGACAGCTGAATGGTGCTTATTTTTGTTCATCCACACATATGACAAGTCTGGGTGCTACTTGGACGCCCCACAGTATAACTCGATTTGGTACCGAGATATGTAAATCGTCGCGCGACGATTAAACTGGAGTTCATCCGGTATTTACGTTCCTGGTCAATTTTTAACAGGAGACCAGAATCAATAAACGTTTTTCGTCCCATTGGTTGTTACCCATTGTGACGCTCAACAATATTGCGTCTTATGGTAAAGCGAAATTTCTAGAGGCAGAGCATCGGCATATTCATTTAGATTTATCAAGTGCATGAAGCGCAAGCCACTGGTCACGAGTGTTGTGTTGGGCACGCAACCCGAGCCTCCCTCAGTCGGTCCCATTTTTCCTTATTCAACCAAGTCTCCAGTGCTGAGACCGTCGGCTCATTGAAGTAGCACGGATGATGTACTTCTCAGTTATTTTCTTGTGCCTCCATAATCAACGAGGAGTTCAAACGAGCAACGAAGCTAATTTCATGCGAGCGGTATGTTTCTACGTTGGAACCATCCACTAATGAAACCAAAGTCTCCCGCTACCAAATGTCTGAAATTGCGAGCATGTTTATTACATTTATGTTGTGAGGCTCAACCGGAAGGCCGCCTGGATTATACAAGAACCGGCAGTGGAATGCACTGGCATTTCGTTTGTGGTCTTAGTGATGCTCGCATCCGTAGGACATTCATTACACTGTATTATTTATCATGTCAGCTGTGATCTCGTCCTGAGAGTGAGGTTAATCTATCATGTCATCTGTGATCTCGTCCTGAGAGTGAGGTTAATCCATTGTATTTGAATTGTTTATCAAAAGATGTGCTATTTCCCAGTAACCTAATCCGAAGGAGGGGGCTGACTTGTTTGGTCACCCATTGTCCAACGACAATTTGTCCTACCTTTACGAGTTTCAAATTGATTGCCCTTTATGTCATTGCTGGGATTCAGCCAGTTGACTGACAGGCAATCGACCGTTCGTTAACCTGGTGCTATGCACCTACCCTGGTTCTTCAATTCAGTTGAAACCTTTATCACAATAAGATGGTGAAGACCTCAGAAAGGTATACACGAACAACAACTTTCTTGGGGTGGGGGTGGGTTGTTCTCTCACAATATCTGGGAACTAGCCGTTGAGATCCGCTTTTAGGACACCTAATTACACAGACAGAAGGGCACCCCCATCGAGCGATGATTTATGGCACGGAATTGTCGCTTTTTACCCGACTCCCTAGCTGTAGTCCTTCCGATACATCTGAACCTTGGGGTTCGGTCCGACGTAGTACACGAGTTTATAAGGGAACTCACGCTCGAGTTCAGCTACAGTTCTTCATAGCTCCCAGGAAAGCAGTTTCATTAATGAGTCAAAGTAACGGTGATTATATTACGCTTCTAGATCACACCAACTGGCTAGTTTCGGTGAAATCTGCTAGATTCCCACCGGAAGGCCGGTGTTTTTAACGGTCCGAATATTTTTTGACGGTTGTGAAAGTGAATTTTCTCTTGCAAAACCAACGCATGAACCGGACTCCCGAATTCGTGCGTGTCCGCATATTTCACCAACCAGTAGTGAATTTCATCTCGGGATCCTCGCCCAAAGAGTTGAAAGCTGCCAAGGCGCTTATTTCTACACAGATGTGCTAGTGTCTGAACTTTCTCCAGGGAGCGTGATAATCATGACTCTCGGATAACTAAAGGTTATTCAACGTAACCGAGCTATTTATTATATGCAAGTCTTTATCTTCCTAATTAATTTCTTTCACTCAGCTGACACTATCCTAATTCTGACTGCGCTCCATTTCGGTTTCTAGTGTTCACGCTTCCAGTAATATCTCTTTATGATGGTGCGTGTACGGTAATCATGTGTAAATGTGCGAGATCGGACACGTCCCCATTATCAAGTGTAACATTAAGAAACTTGTCTTTTCTTCTCTGATCTCCAGGTGTGTCTTCTTGTTCTCATTGCGTGTCTCCAAGGCCGAGCCAAACAACTTTTCATGGAGGCAGCTTTAAACTTGGACTTTGATACACAAAACGTCATATTTCATCTGTTACGGGAACCAATGACCCAGCTCTCATCGGACCAGCAACTGACACGTGAAAGCATCTTAACGGGCTTCCGCGAACCTGTTCCAAGTCCACAAAGTTTGGCTGTCCAAGCGGATACGTTGAACCATCCTGGAGCTTCGGTACACTCCTCGACGACGTTGGTCCTCCCTGATAAGACAGAAGTCTTAGAGGTGCGTTTCTTCTCTTTAAATAAGCTCCACCTCCTTAGTTTTCACAATGATTGTCCACGACAGTGAATAGGAGTACGGGAAGGCCACCACAAAGAATGTGTGTACTCGACCTGTTTTGGACGGTCTTATTTCCTGAGGCGGTGGCTGTCGAGTAGCGTTGTCGGGACCCCAGTGGATAATTTTATCTTGAGGAAGTAACCTTGTCTTTCAGTTGTAGCACCTTTTCGATGCCTAGCTGCCATGCCACCCAAAGAAAGCACGAGGGCTGGGATACTACCAAGTTGCCCAAGCCAAGACAGGAGTTAACTTTGTGGTCCGTCACAGTGGTGTAATAAAGGCGATTCAAAACAGAAGTCGATCTTCTTGGAGACCCTTTGGGGTTGGTTCGTCAAGAAAATCTGGCTACCGTAGGCATATCTTAGAGGACCGTCACGAATGAACTGGACCTTACCGTAGTGTGACGGTTTGTGTGCATCCGTCACCCGCTAAGCTGTATTGGGTGTCCATGCGAGACTCAGTCCTCCATACCGGGTCGGTCAATGGTTACAGGTCTGACCAACGTGGTCCCCTGGCCCTACAATTTGGAGTTAGAGCAGTTGTTGGGGATAGATGGTTCAGTGGTTGGACTGCGAATTTACTGACCGGAAGGTCCGTGGTTCGGACCTCACCTCTGCCTCTCGATTTCTCTTGTCTGGGCTTGGGCAACCTGAGAGTATCCCAGCCCTCGTGCTTCTGGTAGCATGGCGGTTAGGCACCGAAAGGGTGCTACAGCTGAACGATTTACATAGAGCATGTGTGGTGACTTGTGCCGAAGGCTTTGGTCGAGGACTCTGTCCTCCTGTTAAGGTCTGGGCGCCCTGACAGTATCCTAGCCCACACACAACCATGACACTTACATGCCACATCGGCCGTCGCGTGGTTTTACCAGCTGTTACGGTTCGGTCACGCAGCGAGCAAACAATATGATATGCGGATTGTGGCAATACTCTATCCCCAGCTATGTTGCTTGATCCAGACTCCTAGCACGGCGGATAGTAAGAAGACGAAAAACCTCGGACACAA